TCACTTTCATTACTCCCCTTCCTACTCCTTCTTTCTCTTCCTCTTCTCAACTGTTCCCTGTCTCTACATCCCCCATCTTTCTCAATCGTTTTGCTTCCCTCCCCTGCCCTTCTTCTTCTTGTCTCTTCTCTTCTGCTTCCTTGATCGCTCACTCTCCTCCTCTCCTCCTCCTCCTCCTCCTCCTCCTCCTTGTTTACCTCCTTCCAACGATCTTCTCCCAGTTCTTGCGTCCTCCTCCTCCTTCTCATTCTCGCCTTCGCATCCTCATCTCTTCTGCCTCTGCCTCAACCCACTGCAGGTATATGATCGTACATGATTTCCACCTTCCGTCCATTCGTGTCGGACTGGCTCTGCTCGATCCTCGTTACAAGGTCCACCACCAGCACCACTACCACGTTTACCTCCTCCTCCTCCTCCTCCTCCTCCTCCTCCTCCTCCTCATCATCATCATCATCATCATCATCATCATCATCATCATCATCATCATCATCATCATCCTCTTCTATCTCTCCCTTACTTCCCCACCTCTTCCTTGCCCTCGATCTCCTCCTCACCTCCTTCGTCATCTCATCTCCTCCTCTGCTCCACATGACGTGGAGACATGTCAGATGCTCCGATCGACGAGATACAAGGAGGAGGAGACGAGGAGCGGAAAGATCGTCAAGATCCCGCTCGAGGTCGACACTAGCAGGCCAGCCAGGCGCTACCTCCTCCAAGTGGGGTTGGGGTCTCCGGTGAGAGCGGGAGAGAAGAGAGGCAGGAAAGGGAGGAGGCAGGGAGGGGAGGGACGGAGAGGGGAAGGGGGAGAGAGACGTGAAGTGTGGAGGACGAGCCGATGGTGTCGAGAGGAGAGAGGGGAGGACAGATGGACAAGAGGACGAAGACGCTAAGTTGCTGCTGCAGGTCCAGTCGCTGAAGATGTTAGTGGACACGGGGAGCTTTCTAACGGAGGTAAGGGAGGAGGAAGAGGAGGAGAGGGGAGGGGGGATGAGGCGGAGGGGAGGAAACAGAAAACCTTGGAGGATAAGTGAAGGAGGAGCCTGGGGGAGAGGAGGGAAGGGGAATGAAACCCGGGTGAGAAGGACTGAAGGGCTCGGCAGGTTTTTACTTGCCCTCCTTGTCATGATGAGAAGAACGAAAAGTCTTCCTCCTCCTCGGATCACATGCGAGGGAGGAAACAGAAACTTGAGAAGAAGGAAGTGAAGGAGAAACATCGGGCCAGCCAAAGGCAGACAGGTACAGAGGGCGAGGGAGCGAGGAAGGAGGGAGCGAGGGAGAAGGAGAGAGGAGGGAGGGAAGGAGGGAGCGAGGGAGACGGAGAGAGGAGGGTGCAAGGGAGAGGCAGCGAGGGAGGGAGGGAGGGAAGGAGGGAGGGAGGGAGAGGGAGGGAGGGAGGGAGGGAGGGAGGGAGGGAGGGAGGGAGAGGGAGGGAGGGAGGGAAGGAGGGAGGGAGGGAAAGGGAGGGAGGGGAGGTAGAAGAGGCTCTGTTGACATGTTGCAAGGAGAGGTAGTGAAAGGCTCAGATGAGATACCAGGGATTCAGGTGCTCCAGACCTTCTCCTCCTCCTCTGTTCCAGTCTTCACTCTATCCCCTTCCTCCTCGCCCCTCTTCCCCTCCCTTCCCTTCCTTTTCTTCTTCCTCCTGCATCCTTCGCTTCCCCTCTTCTCATTCGGTTTCGTTCTGCTTGGTAGGCCGGAGGAGTCATCGTCATGCTTTCCCTGGTGGTCTGCGTTGGGGTAACTGCAACTCTCCGCCTCCTCCTCTGCCCTCCTCTGCTCTCTACCTGCTCCTCCTTCCATCATCCCTCTCCTCCTGATAAGTCCTTCCCACCTCTCAAGCCTCTGAGCATCTCCTCCCCTCTCACGTTGTCATCAGATCGCTGAATGGAGGAGAAGAAAAGTTGCCGTGCCCAAATTTCGACTTGTGGAGTGAGACTATCACTGATCCTTCTCCAGCTCCTCCTTCTTCTCCTTCACTTCCTCCTCCTTCTCCTTCTCCTTCTCCTTCTCCTCCTCCTCCTCCTCCTCCTTCTCCTCCTCCTCCTCCTTCTCCTCCTCCTCCTCCTCCTCCACTTCCTCCTGCCTCCTCCAGCACTACTACCGCGGCCTCCCTTCCGGCATCTGATATGTTTGCAGGTACAGCCAAGTAGAAGGAGAGCCGTCCAAATTCGAATTTTCAGACTTGTGATGTGGAGCATGAGACGAGCGAGCACAGGGAGGGATAGACTGGAACAGCTTCAGATTGCAGGAGGAGAAGGCGCAAGGGAAGAGCGGGAGAGGAGGAAGGGATGCGGTGACTTGCTTCACGTGTCCAGCACGTTAACTTTCTTTGTTCCTCTCACTCCTCCGCCTCCTCGTCCCACGTGAACAACCCGGCCATGATGAGAGAGTTGAGAGTCCTGACGGATCAGTCAGCAAGTGACAAGCCGCGCCTGATGCTTTGTTTCCCTCGTCTATCCTCTGTCTCCTGCACCCTCTCCTTCTCCTCCTCCTCCTCCCTCTCCTCCTCCTCCTCCTCCTCCTCCTCCTTCTCCCTCTCCTCCTCCTCTGCTTACCCGATGGTTCGAGGAGTCTCGTCGCTCTTTTCCGAGCGCCAAGTCGATGCCTGCAGCAGGAGCTTCAGGATCAGGAGGAGCAAGCGCAGGAGAAGCAGAGAGTGAAAGCAGCTGTGCGCGAGTGAAGGTCAACGAGGAGGAGGAGAGGATCTAAACGATCAGGGGAATGCGAAAAGAATGCCACACTTCTGGAAAAGCAGCAATTGGAAGAACAAGGGGAGGGCGCGAGAGGGAAAAGGAGGAGGAGGAGGAGGAGGAGGAGGAGGAGGTTCTTACTTTGGTCACATCTTCCGGATTGATTCGATTGATCCTTGAGAGACCTACCGACTGTTAAATCATAGATAAACAAACACCAAGCAGACTCGAGCACACAAAGTTCAGAGATCGGAACGTTTCAACCAGTAGGGCAACGACACGTTGTAAGACAACAATCACTTCACCTGCTGATAAAATCTTTGCCTTCCTACTGGACACAACTGTAAGAATCTTGAGTGCCTCCTGCTCCATTGTCAGCGAGCGACGAGCAAAGGAGCTCAGATGACTCGGCGACCTCAGGAGCTTTCTTGCGATCTGACGTGTTGTGTGCAAGGAGGAACGTTTGGATCTGACCATCTTCATCCTTCGCCTCCATCCCCCTCAGCTCCTCGTCCTCGTCCTCGTCCAGCGCACAAAGTTCGATCATCCCTGTGCCCCAGCGCTCGTCAAGATCGGAGCACGGGGAAGGGAAAGTAGTCGACCTGCTTCTAGGATCGAGGCGAAAGGAGGACGAGAAGTCCAATCGCTGTGCGCATGTGAGCAAGCCGACGAAAACCAACAGACAAGGGAGATAGGGGCACGTGTCAAGGAGGAACATGTGGAAGAGAATCACTGGGAGGAAGGAGAGCAAGAGCAAGGGATCTGCCACACAAGGCAAGATAGTGACAAGAGCATGCAGGAGCAGGCGACAAGCATCGTATCACCATCCTATGGGCGTTTGCATGTAACGAAGGCGGATCTCACGGACGAGCGCTATCGCCTGCTTGGTGCTGATCCTGGCGAGGGATCAACGAAGAAGGAGGAGCTGTGTTCTACTCACCAAGATGCAGATACAGCAGGAGGAGAAGGGAGGGCTCCAGGAGCGGAGGACGAAAAGATCGAGACTTGAACCTGCGATTTGTCAATCAGAAGGGAACAACATCCTTGAAATCAGACCTCCCATTTCCTTGTTGCATCCTCTATCAACGCATTGAACTTTTCAGAGGAGAACTCGAGTGCTGGTGTGATGAGTCAAACTTTGCAGTTTCGTTTGCTTCAACGCTCATTGGCACAAAATTTTCCTTCCCAGATGCCATCGTCTTCTGATCTCTGATCTCCTATCATCCTCTATCCTATCATCCCTGTTCACTTCTTCTCACTATTCCATCGTTTGTTGTCGTTTGTCATTGAATGGTGAATTCAAAGAAGCCTCTCACCGTCTTGCGAATTAGTGCGAGGGAACTGTGGCTCAGGCGAGAGCTGCGAGTGAGCGTTACTATCCTCCTCTTTCTCGCTCTTATCCCACCACCCGCAAATCGATTCATGATCATAATGGTTCATCAGTGACATTCAGCAGTTGCAGGAACACAGAAAGTCGGTCGCGACACCATCAACTCTATCTCTGCACGTCACACCCTCTTTGCTCCTTCCTCAGTGTCATCACACAAATCAGCCAGACAATCAGCACCTGTCGGGAAATGGGAGGCGAGCGAAGATGCTGATGATGCTCCTACACTCAGTCTCAGTGTTTTCTCCACATTCTTTTGCTTCCACCTCAGCTTGAATCTGTGTGAGTCTCCCAAGTGAATCCTGGAAACATTCATCTCAATCCCTGTGTGATGCCACAAGGTGAAAGCTGGTCAGCAGGACCTTCGCTCTGAAGGAAACTTTCTTTGAGCTCGAGCTAGTCCTGCAGCAGGAAACAATCATGTGTTCTTTTGGATACTGCATACTATGTAACCTTTCGATGTCCGTTTCGTCCGGATTTATGCTCTCCCTCAACTCCCCATCATCGTTGCCATCCTGCTCCAGGAATCAGATCAAGTCCTGATCCTCCCAGGCCATGGTGTTTGAGCAGGAGAGCAAGACATCAAACTCTCCTATATCCTTTCAAATCTCAAGAGAAATTCCCGCGCAGGGCACCGTGAATCACCTGGACAACACACCCACCTTTCGATCGTCATCATCATCGTTTGCTCCTCCAAGCTTCACACCCTTGAAAGTGCGTAAGGGAGGAGACTGACTACTCATCATCAATGATTCAATCAAGTGTCGGGTTGACCTCTGTAATAATCTGCGGACGCGAAGACGTTGTTTCCTCCTACAATGATCTCAGCCCAGCACAGCATGCAGAAGCCTGCTTCGTCACCTCCTGTGCTCCACCCTCGTCCTCTTCCGCCTCTACTTGTGCCAGTGCAATGGCAGATTTCTTTCCGAACGGCTGCTCATTGCGTCAGTCCCAACCACTCCAAAGTTGCCATTCTTGACCTCTGCAATTTGATGCACTGCCTCGGTCGGAGGATTCGCCTACAGGCAGCCATTAGGTGAATTCGAGGGCTTCAGTGCCACAATACACAATGAACAAGAAGAAACTGAAGACAATCTTACCTTGGTATCATCCTCATTCTCATCCTCCGATCCGTCCTGGGGTTCCGGTCCCTGCGCACAGGCGGTGAGAGGAGATCAACACGAGCTGCTCTGTGAGAGATAATGGATTCCTTTGGGTGCTACAGGATTCCAATTATTTCGAGCATCCTAAAGAAATCTGGACAAGTATTCCTCGTGGCTCTACCTAAGACCTAAAGGTACGGATCCAGCAATGAAAGCTTTTCTGCTGGCTGAATGTTGACGCAAGATGGGAAAGGGAACAAGATTAGATCCATGAATGAGACTCCACCTTGGATCCGAAGAAACTTCCCAGGACATTCTTGAAGGCTCCTCCTCCTCCTGCTCCGCTCTCCTCCTCCTCGCTCTTCTTTCCCTTGCGCCTCCTCGGCATGCCGCGTACAGTACAGAAATAGACTGGGGGTGGTACCAACATCCAGGGACAAGATAGGATTCGACGCTGAAACATGATGAAAGGGGGGGGTGGGGGTACTTTACAAATGCTCTCTGGGGTGGGTGGTATTAAGAGAGTAAGGAATGTGAAAGACAGTAATGACTGATATAGGAAGAAGAGCGATCGAGGAAAAGACAGCAAATACACTATAACTATATAGCGGCAGATTCATACAAATTTATAACACATTTGAAATCAATCTGTACCAGGTGCAAGGGTTGAAAAGGTGTGTTTTAAGCCTCCTCCAATAAAGGGGAATTTATATAATTATATGATATTATGTATAATTTGGGATGTTTTGTATAACCAGGTTTGACGGAGTGGTGTAACGTGTCGACATAACGAATGGGGGGAGAGAATAAAAATTTGGGAAGTAAATGGGGAAAACTAGGGGTAGGGGTAGTAGAAATTTATAATAATACCGGTACAAAATAGGTTAGAAACAGGGGTTCATTGTATTGTGATCATCGGTTGAGTGAAGGGGTTGAAATGGATCCAATGGGTAAGAATGAAGGGTCCAGTCAGCTCATAGTCAGCGGTTTTAGAAGGGGGTAGGGAGAAGGGGAAGGTATACATACCCCTCTAAATTGTTCCAAAAGCACGGGTAGACCTTGACCTATGCCCGAAGGAGGCGTTCTAGGATGGTGGGGTAGTGGTAGGGAGGCGCAAATCACTCCTCGGATCATCGAAAACTCTCTATTTCAAATCTCTTTAGTCGCAGATACCACGTGACCTATCTCCGCTCCGCAGATCGTACGAAATGGTATCCGATGGTAATGGAGATTCATACCAGTAAAGCAAACAGTACCATATATCTGTTCTGAAATGTGTACTGGTTTCCTGCATGGTACTATCCCCCTAGGTGGAGATCTACATAATGGTACAACCTCAGAGGTATCCAGGTTCCTACAAATTCAGTATGGTCCTAGAACAAGTGTATAAAAGGGGTATGAGTGATGGATTCAGGTAAGGGTGGTTCAGGTCTTGAGGCTATCAAATGAGGTAATGGTCAAGATCTTAGCACTGAACTAGAAGGATCCGTTGTGTCCTATCGTGAAATGCGCAATCCTTCCAACAAGAATTTTTTGAGATGGGTGGGGGTGGCTGTGGAGATACCCACCAGGTCATAGGGGTTAAAACTATTTTTCCATATTCGATCACTTTTGAAAACGAGTCGTACTGTGTCAATAATTTTAAAAATATATCCTCCGAAACTTCAATGTTCCTCGAATCATTTGAACTGTGAACTACTGAAAACCAATTATGTTATAAAATGCTTCGTTTTATCCAAAAAAGACTTTTAAAAGTGTGGGGTCGCATCAAGGCCTTGAAAGGGTCCTAGGAGAGCTACGGGGCACAACTAGGGATATCGACTTGACCCCTATCTTCTCCTAACATTCTGTAAGCCAATGTGAGTAGGTGGGGTAGTACACCCTACCCAGCCTGACCTGAAATATTAGGGGGTGGGGTGGTGCTGTTAGGTGGCTGTCGGCGGCTATGGCAGTAGTGGAACGAGGGAAGGGGATGGGAAGGTAGCGTAAGAGCAAAAGGAAGAAGAGGAGGAAGAAGGAAACTTGATCAATCGTTCATCATCATCATCTCGCTTTCACAGACCGATCCCGAGTCTCATCCTGGTTCTTGTGCAGGTTTTTGTTTTGATTCGAGGTGTTTGTCACGTGTCTCGGTTAGCAAGCGGCTTTCTTGCGGGAGTTCATTTCCATGTTAGATCCCACCGTCTGAAATCTTTCGTCATGAGATTCACAGTTGTGAGGAGCAACATTGCCAGGTCGTTTTCTTTGTACATATTGCTGTGGTTATGCCCGCTATCCTTCGCGGGTCACAGCGATTGGTCGGGACTGGGGAGAGCGATGCCTCTAGATCGCAGCTCAGCTCCAGGGTTGACAGAAAGGATGCTGGTGCAGCATCGCCAGGACCCTGAGAGCAATGAGCACTCTGTCGAGTACGCATGCTCTTACGAGAACTTCGGTGCAACCACGATGCCGCTCTGCAGTTCTTTCGAAGACTGCAACGAGGACGGCAACGAGATCATCTTTGCGGACAGAAACTGGGAGCCTGAGTATGCATGCTCATATCGTACAAAATCGTCAACCATGCCACCTCCGGGTCAAGCATGCCAAAAGATGGAACTGAAGGATGAACCAAAAACGCAAGAGTTTGTGCAATGCTCAATGCAAAACCGACGGTGTGAAGCAAAAGTTCGTTCTTCCATTCATCACAAGGCACAAGCGAATAATGGAAAGCTGGGAAGCTCCAAGTCGTTAGGTGCTATCAACTCTATCCAGCAAGGAGGACTCAGAGATCCCAAAGGCTCGGAGGAGTCGATGTGGAGGGAGGACGTCGGGAAGAGGTACAGGGAATTAGTACCGCCAAAGCCAAAACGGGTTTCTTCAACTATTGGGGGTATATCAGAAGCGGGGATGAGAGATGCAATGGCAAGAAGTTTTAGTGCAGAGCTTCGTTTGACAGAGCAGAAGGTTGACGAGGTTGTCATGTTCTTGGATTTGGACAAATGTACAATATTTGGGAATGACGGAAACGACCTTGGTATTGCGCTTCAATGGATGGAAAAGCCTTACGAAGATGTCGTTGAATTGTATGCTCTTGTTCCCTGCTTTTATTTGAGCTTATTCTGTATCCAAGGTACCGGCACCTCGTCAATCCATGCCTAAAGCCTGCTTATGAAAAATTGAAATCAAAAGCTCATAAGGTATGTGTTCTCTAACATTCAGGAGGGACGATGTAATGTATTTTGTAGGTCAAAGTGGTTATATACACCATGCGAGCAACTTTTCTACTGTATAAGTCTTGTTTCCGTCCTGCTGTTATCGTTCTGCAATGGTACGACAAGTGGCATCGCGATGGACAGATTTATTTCCCGAATGATGTGAACTCAGCGGGTAAATACTTTTGTCGATGCCTTTCTTGCCTTACGCAAGTCTTGAAAGATGAACTTCTTGAGAAAACGAATTGGCATCTCCTGGACGAGGAGAGGACTGATATCAAGAAATCGTTGGAACGGCTGCTGGCGGCACGTCAAGTCGTGTTCGAAGAATTGGGGCTCGAATGCCTTCCCGACCTTGTGGTTACAGCTCAACCTAAGAATGTGGAGAAGACAGGCATGGCGCTAGGATACAACCCCCAGAACTGCTTTTTGTGGGATGACAATCCGAAGTTGCATCTAGACCCGAAGGTGACAAAAACCTCCCTTTCGTTTACTTCTCACCATTTCGTGAATCTTGGAGCATGACTCTGATCAAACCGCAATGCACAGGTTTTGGGTGTACCTCCATATGAGGAGATGCTGGAGGATAGACAAGAGAAGCTGCTGAATTTCTTGAATGAGTGTCTGCCTCCAGAGCAGATGGAGGTTCGCATGTGTTCGATGACTTTGTGTGAATCATTCATTCTCCGTGTAGGAGGATCTGTGGGAGTTCATGTTAGGTGCGGGGCCCTGCGATGCTTCTCTTCGAGAGGATTCAGTCACTGGGGACAAGACGTATCACGTCAAGACTACCAAGTCCTTGGATCCTTGGCCTATCCCTGAGTTCAGGTATGATTAAGTAACGATTTGTTATCGATGCTGAATAGCTCGTCAGGGCCAGTGAAGTTAGCGCTAAGATGCGAAAAGCGGGCTTAGCAGAGGAGGGAACACTTTCACCCGTCACACCAGACTCGGAATCTTCACCTCTGAGACCGAAGAGCTTCAACGAGCTGGATCGGCTTGTTGGAAAGAGGTTGGACTCTTGCGTGTTCTGCTCTCATATCGTAACATTGTACCACAGCCTAGGCGAAAGCAACGTGCGCACGTCATGGCAGGAGCTGAAGGGAGAGGGTCAAGAAGTGGGAGCATCATGATCAGCTGAATGCTTGTAGATTACTTTAGTTGTACAGACAATGTTTATGTAAAAGAACGTGTTGATGACAAGTGCTGAGCAAACAAGCGAGCCATGGAATTTGAAAGAGCGAAGTCGATCTCTATCTCCGAGCGTTGCCGATCTCACCGATGTAGGACGCCATCGACTGCGCTCGTCGGAGCTTGTAGAGTCGATGCATCTTGACATTGACGTCGTAGAGCTCGCGGTCGTGCAGCTGAATCTCTCCGATGATGCGGAGGTGCTGAGCGTGCAGGATGACGTAGAGCTTCAGGTCGCGGTAGCCGTCCTGCACCACCGAGCACGAGAACTTGTTCTTGACTCGGCAGACGCACAAGGAGTCATCCTGCAGCTCCAGGAACCATCGGGCGACTTGGAGGAGGTGCTGCGGCTTCTCGCAGACGATGGACAGGCGGACCGGGTCGAGGATGTTGGCAGTGAGGGGCCATCGAGCTTTGCGGTCAGGAGGAGCGTACTCCTTCACCTTCTCCGCCATCCTCTCCGGTGTCTTGATGCTGGCATAAACTACCCGCACCGCCGCTGCCTCTTCCCCGAAGGAGCACAAGATCTCGAAGTCCTCCTCCCTCCTCCTCAGCTGCACGTCCCCGTAGCTGGAGGGCAGGGCCTGGTGCGCCAGGACGACGTCGGTGACTCGAGCACGGAAGTAGCCGTTGAGGATGGCGGCTCGAGCATGCAGCTGGGCGATGAAGGGAAGCTCTCCCAGACACTCCTTGTGCTGCCCCGAGGAGAAGCTCAGCTGCGCCTCTCGCCTCTGACCCTCATCCACCCGAATCGCACCCACCTAGTCAGGAGAATGAGCGGGAAGGAGGAAGTAGCAGCAGGGGCAGGGGCAGGGGCAGGGGCAGGGGGAGCAGGAGCAGGAGCAGCAGTAGTTAGAACGAGCAGGAGCAGGAGCAGGAGCAGGAGCAGGAGCAGGAGCAGGAGCAGGAGCAGGGGCAGCAGCAGGCATAAGGGCAGGGGCAGGGGCAGCATCGCGACCATGAGGACCGATGAGGAGAGGAAGAAGAGGAAGGAGATGAGGCGAAAGGTGATGGGGAGAGAGGGAGGATCTTCACATTCTCGTCGTCCTGCCTACAGACAGGCGTCAACTGCCTCCTCGACCCCCGATGCTCCTCCGTCGCCGAAGTGAACTTGGTCGCATAATCCTCCCAACATCGCAACCTTACATTCAGGGGTCATCTCCAAAACACGTCCTCGTCCTCCCTCTCCTGCTCCTCAGGGCCTCCCTCCTCCACCACCACCCTCTCCTGCCCTCCAATTCCCCTCCTCCTCGTCGTCTTCCCCTCTTTCTCACATTTCCTCCTCGCCGATGATGCTGTGCCTCTTGCCGTCGTCCCATCGGTCCGCGCAGAAGGCTCTGAGCTCTTGGCCGAAGGGCCCAGCAAACAGCTCCTCCGACCTTCTCTCGCACGCGGCGACGAAGTCGACCATGATGGAGCGAGCAAGGTCTTGAAGGTGAGAGAAGAGAAGCGGATGGTCCCTCCAAACTTTCATTCGCACCACCTTGTTCTTGAAGAACTCGAACCGCTGCTCGTGACTTCGACGCCTCGCCCTCTTCCACGACGAGTTGTACCTCCTTCCCTCCTGCTTCCTGCGGTGCAAGAACGAGAAGGAGGAACCCGATGGCAGCTCGTGCTCCAGTACGATATCAACCCGCTTCTCCTCCTCCTCCTCCTCCTCCTCCTCCTTCCCGCTTCTTCCAGGATCTTCCATGCCGTGCTCTAGCAGGTGCCGGCAGAGCTCCAGCAGCCACTCGCACAACCTGTCGTACTGAGCTGAGAACGCCTCGGACGTCATCGAGCTGTCCCTGACGCTGACGCAGAAGTTGTCAAAGAACGTCTCGTCACAGTCGTCTCGCAGCAGCGCCAGACGCGCCGCCGCCTCCATGGCAGCCTTGCCGATGAAAGTAACCTTATCCCGGCTGTGCCAAAGAGCCAGCCTCTCGTTGCTCAGGTAGAACCCGTCGTGCCGTGACAGCCGCAGCTTCTTTCTGATAGTCTTGGTGGCTTCCATGACCTCCCTGTCCTCCTGCGACATGGTCCGTCTCGTCAAGCATCTGACGAGCGAGTACACACACAGGAGGACGACGATGGTTGGCAGGATAATGATGAGCAGGAGCAGCGACATCTCGACACATGCTGAGTTCAGCGCGATCAAGCTCCCGTCGCAGACGCTGCAGTCCTCCTTCTTGGTCGCTCCCGGGCCCCTCGTGATGCGCCTGCCCCCGCACGCTATCGGCATGACCGACTGAGCAGGACAGTAGAAGCCGGTCGGGCACTCAACGGCAGGCTCGGTCCCTCCCTCGCACCAGTACCCCTCCGGGCAGGGGAGGCAGGAGCACAGGGTGGGGTCAGGGCTGTAGCCTCGAGCACAGATGAAGGGGACCCAGGTCCTCCATCGGTCAGGGTTTGACAGGATCCAGTCGCACGCGACCCTCCACGGCCCGGAGTATCCCTCCACCCCGCTTCTCTTGTTCTTGCCGCTTGCCGCCATGAGACCGTTCATGTCCTCGTCGTACAGGTTCATCTGGTTCACCAGGAACGTCACGTGGCTGCTCACAGAGGGGAGTCGCCGCCACACGTAGTTCCTCGGTTTGATCAGCGCAAGGCCCGTCCGGTAGATCTGCTGCTGGTACTCCAGCTCGTTGGTGTCTGGCAGCCTGAGCTTGACAGGAGTCTGACCTTCCAGTCCGAGGAGGTTGTCGTCAGGTTGATACCAGCCGAAGAGTACTTTCCTGGCCTTCACCATGGAGTAGTAGATGTCGTCGAAGGCTGCAGTGCCGTCTCTGACTTTGATCAGAGCAACGGGTATGTTGAGCCAGAACGCAAGCTGCATCGCAACATGATACTGGTACTGCAGGACGAACGGGAGGCACTTGGAGTGATTAGCCAAGCACGCTGGGGAGAACCAAACCCGGTCGTCGTAGAAGCAAGCTGTTCCCTTGTTCCCCGTCTTCGCCTCATAGTTTGCCTTCTCGCGAGAGTTGCCGTACTTGACCTGATCCAGATCTGAGCAAGTCTCCACCGCCTCGATCGGAATCATGTCAAGAATCGACATCCAGGGGTCGAAGTAGACGTGAGGGTCATAGCGGGCGGCGTCATAGTACCTGTAGTAGTCCAGGAAAACAGAATCTTTCTGAGCCTGCTGCACCATCGTATCCCACAGAAAGAAATGATCGACAGTGTTGTAGTCGTAGACTGTCAGAAGGGTGGGTTGCAAGTGACTGGGCAGAGCAGACACGCGTCCGATACCGTAAGACCAAGTCTCGACGGTGATGTGAACAACAGGGTCTGATATGTTGTTGTCCTTGCACAGAGTGTCGTCGGGATTCTTACAGCCTGCAACGTACATGACGGGCTGACCTGAATGTAAAGCAGTGCCGTCCAGTAGCTGTACTTCAAACTGGAGGATCTCGGCCAGGAGGATGTAAGTTATCTCAGATATGATGCGCGCAGAGGCCCAGGAGGCGTACGGGACCTTGAGAGGGTGTAAAGTGCCATCAGCGTACTTCAACCGTCGAAGCTGTTCTGTGCGAAGTTGCGAGAAAGAGGAGAAGTTGAAGCTAGGAGGGAAGCATTGCTTGTCGTGCGGGACAAGTTGAATAGTGCTTGCAGATGTCAAAGAACAGAGACGAAGTATAAGAGCAACAAGGAGAATCGACGACATTGATCTTGTCATGGATCCACGGGTCAGAAGCGCCTGCGCTCATGTTGGACGTTCATTCTCCCCCTACGACTATCAGCAAGATGTCAGTGAAAACAAGTTCCATCCGATCTGGACGTTATTGAGGGGTCATCTTATCGATTGCAAGTGCTGTTCCCTACTACAATCCATAAAATCGTTCAAGTCGGCACAAAGCAACCCCTTCACATCTCCCGATGACTCTACCGCCTCTTCGTGTATGCCAGGCTTCAATCTCAGACTTTTCTCTCCTGGCCTGTATTCGCCTAATTTCTTAGGATCGTTCACTCCCATCGCTTTTATCCCTCTCCTTCTCTCCCTCCTCCCTCTCCTCCCTCCCTCCTCCCTCCCTCCTCCCTCCCTCCTCCCTCATCATTTTACTCCATCGCCATATCTTTTTCCTCGCCTTCACAAAAAGCTGAGGACTTCAATATCTTTGACTACCCCACCCCCTCCTTGAACTATTTGCACCCCAAACCTTTCTGCCGCTCCTTACCACCCCCCTCCCCCTCCCCACCCCCCAACCCCCAGACTCAAGCAGTCTCAGACCGATTTGACAACCCTGGCAGCCCTCAAAAAAACAATACGAGTCAAGTCAAAAAGACCAAAAGACCCATCCACCCACCCACCCACCCACCCACCCACCTGCCTGATTCCCTTGACTGCCACCCACCCCTTCTCTTACACCACCGCCCTACACCCTCCCCCCGGCCCAAGTTACACTTTTAAAAGCCACTTTTAAACTTCCGAGTCGCATGTGATGTTTACTACAGGCCTTTAATCGGAAATTCCCGAACCCGCTTCTAAGTTCAGCCCGCCGGACTCCGTCAGACCCGGCCCCCCCGGCCCGGTCACCGTCCGATCGGCACCGGGCGGCGGGCAGCAGTGACTCGCTCGAACCGACGCCGCGGGACAATCGGATCACTGCCAGCCAGCGGACGGTCGGGGTGTCGGAGAGTCACTGAGCCCGGCCTCAGTGACGCTGATCTGAGGCAGCCGGACCGTCCGACGGTCTGAGGTTTGACCCTGAGGGGCCCGGGCCGGGACCGTACTACGGTACGGTTGCCTAACTTTGAAGGCCAAGGATCAGGCATGCCGTTTACTTTCAGGCCTTTCGTTAATGTGGCCCTTAAATTTTTCGCCGGTAGAGAAACCCCGCTAAATAGTACCCACACGTTTTAGTTTATTTCTACACTCCTCTTTACAAGTTATTTTAACAGTGTACCGGCATGTACGGCCACTTTCACAGTACCACTCTAGTTGCAATCCTCCTTGCCTGGACGGGCAATCATTTGAATGGCGGCGCAATCAGGGCGCCGACCACCGTCGTCACATTGAACTTCGGAAGCCTCCCGGAGTCCGGCTGCCTCATCGCTCGGCGGCCCGGCATTGCTGACAGTGATGGAACGTATGCCAGCCGTGCCAGTCAGATAGCGCGTGTGGGACGAAGAGGGGGCTTTCCTAGAGGCTGAGCCGTCTTGCTAAGCCTCGGTCCTCTCATGTCTGGATGCTTGGGTTTCACATCCTAGCATGCAGTCTATCTCTCATGTGCTCCTCAATTCTGGTTTTGTGTGCATTCAATTAAACTCGGTCTTGAGCAAATTGTTACAACTAAGGTCGATCAACGGTGATATCTGAGCGGCGGCGTGACTTTTGGACTAGTACAAGTCTAACAAACTTGTGCTCCGTCAATTGCCAAACTTGAGGAGGAGATTGGACCTCGGACTCATCAGATCAGCACCGTACCTGCTGCACTGAGTCATGACGGTGCCAGTGTTTCAATGGTTCAAGCGGTGTATAGTACGTCATGCCCGGCCGCGTGACTGACACGGCCGGTCACCCGGTCACGGCGACGTCGCAGCGGTGCCGGGGGCCCGATGATGCCGCTGTGCGGCGGGCCGGGCCCGGTACCCGTCGGTCACGGTACGGCAGTGACTCACAGTACTGTAGTGACCCGGCAAAATAGTTTCTTTAGTCAAAGTCAGTCTGCCTCAGACTCGATGGTACCATTCCCCTGATAGGTTGCAACCATGTCCACAGACGCTGAAGAAGGGAAGATCGAAGAGAGAGCGGAGAGAGAGGAGCAGAGCGATGCGAGGAAGGATGGGGGAGAAGGAGAGCGGAAAGAGGAGGGAGAAGCCCAAGCAGGAGATCCAGAGAACGGAGATCTGCAGGACGGTACGGCTGCGGGTGCTGAAGACGAAGGCGCGTCGGCCAAGGAGAGTTTGTCCCTGGATCGCGAAGAGGAGAAGGAAGAAGATGGACCAGACGGTGAAAGACAGGTAGACCAACAGCCAGATGAAGACGAGGATCGTACAGAAGATGTCTCGCCAAGTGCTCAGGAGGATGAAGCAGGTTTTGTTCATTCGAGTTTCGTAAAATTTGTGAAATGATTGGAAACAGCATCCGACGAGGCGCAACAGGTTGAAGACGAAGCTTCAGGTGACTGCAAAGATCATAATCTCATACGAAGATGATCTCCTGATTCTTTCCATAGCCGGCATAGCGAGCGCATCCACGAGTGGTAAGTATGCTCATTCACAACCTGTCTTTTCACACAAGGACATGACGGCGAATCGCGCAGAGTCTCGTCCTCCTCTACCAGGAGCTCCTCCTCCAAACCAAGGACAAATATCAGGAGACAGTCTGGGGGAAGGAGACTGGCAAGATGTGAGCTACAACCTGTTACCTCCTCTCCTGCCTTCTCACTGTCCTGAAAGGTCTCTGGATACACAGAGTCTGCTCCGCAGAAAGATCCGACGTCTCCACGTGCTCCTGCTTTCAGTTTGCTTCTGAGTTTGAGATGATTGACAGGCATTGCGGGGAGGGAGCGATGCAGCAGCTCGAGCTCCTCATCGATCGCATGGAAGGAAGCTCGTTCCATACCCAGGATGCGGCGCATTTTCTACGAAGGTCAGTTTTCTCTGTTCCGTTTAGCAGTGTCTTCACTTCCTCTCCCTCTCCCTCCCCCTCTCTTTCTCTCCTCCTATCCTCATGTTCTGTCCTCCATCCATCCTCCTCCATTTGTCCTGTCTACAGCTTTTTCAATATCTTTCATCGCTCTGCTCGCTGTGATTCAAGCCGTGATGACTGTCTTCAGGAGGGCGGAAATAGAAGAGACTTACGCGAGATCGCTTCGAAGATTGTACGAAGAGTCTGCTGAATCGAAAGTAAGACCAACGATGAAACTTGGTATGCTGCTCATCAGCTCTTGCCAGGTCCTGTCGTTTCGTAGTCTCAAGAACAAGTTGACCCGAGCTGGGCAAATGCAGCTCGACTCTGCAGGTCCGATTGGGAATGGTGGGAGGAAGAGGGGGTGGTGGAGACGGGAGAAGTGTGGGGTGGTGGGGACGAGAAGAGGGTTGAAAGACTGATGGTGGAGGTAGAGAGCGCAGCTCAAGCTTGGTCTGCTATCGAGTCGCACATCATGCAAACATCTGAAGTGCACATGGCGCTGAGTGAAGTATGGCGACTGCGATGAAGATTGCGATGATGATGATAATGATGATGATATGGAAGGCAATGACAATGACGATGACATGATTGATGACGATATGTTTGCTCATCATGAAGCTTGTGATGAAGCGGTTGATAGAGATGATGCTTTTGGTGATCGGATGATGGAGATGATGGAGACTGTAAGAGTTTAATCCGTTTTCTTCAGAGAATCATGAAAATTTCAGTAAGCTTGAAAAAGGCGAACGATGAAAGTGAGCAGAGGAGAAAGGTAAGCAAACATTCCAACATTCCCTTAGACCTCACTCCTTCCTCATCTACAACAGGAGGTAGAGCGATTCACTCAAAGAGCGGCGAAAGAGCTTCGAGAGACACAGAAGAAGTACGAGCACTGCGTTGAAACTATGAAGGTATTATCTCCTCCACCTCCTCCTCCCCCGTGCTCTTCCTTCTCCTGACATTTCGTTTTCTCTGCAGACCATGGAAGTCAGCGCTGGCGTGCAAAGCGTTTCCCCGATACAGAAAAAGTGAGAGGAGGTATGGGATGACGGAGGAGCTAATGGGGTGGCAGGGGAAGCGCGATCCTCTCGCTGTTCAAAAAGTCCTCCTCCTCCAGCGCGGAGGCCGTCGAGAATGCCGTGAAGGAGTCAGAGAGAAAGTAGTATTTGCTTTCCTCCTCTTCTTGTCTTTACCCTTCCCAGGTATTCCGCCGCCAAACTTTCCTTCGCAAGCTCCTTCCCGTCCACGATCGACCAGTTGCGCAAGTGCGAGCAAGACAGGATCGAAGCGGTGAAGCATAACCTCGACGAGTTCCTCAACGTCGGGCTGGGAGCGATGCAGTAAGTGGGGAGGAGAGGGAAAGGGAAGCGTGTGAGAGGCGTGCAGGGCGGTTCAAAACTTGTTCTCTCCTGCAATGGTGAAGGTGAATGCAATCGATACCGAACGAGATCTGAATGTCAACCTGGCCTGTCTGTTGTGCTCTTGCTGATTTCAATGCAGAAAATCTTTGGAGAGACCAAGACCAGCGATTCGTAGAGGCAAGTTCCTTGGCAACCGACCGATGTGGGACAACAACCATGCAGCGATGAAGTAGAAGCAGCTGTCGCTAGTGTTCAACGGTCATTAAAGTAACCGTTGCGTTCGGGCAGTGTCAGAGAACTGAGTGCGGGAGGCACAAGACATAGTGACAGCAGAAAGAAAGACAGCAGGATGACCTGCTGGATGACCTGCTGGATGACCTGCTGGATGACCTGCTGGATGACCTGCTGGATGACCTGCTGGATGACCTGCTGGAAATGAGCAGGGAAATGAGGGGATGAGCTGGGGGATGAGGGGGATGAACAGGGGGATGAGGGGGATGAGGGGATGAGAACCGGTAGGGTCGGGGCGTCGAAATTGAGGATGAGGTGGAGGTGAAGAGAGGAAGAGAATAGAAGAGAAGAGAAGAGAAGAGAAGAGAAGAGAGAGAAGAGAAGAGAAGAGAAGAGCAGAGCAGATGAGATGGAGAGAGAAGATGAGAAGAGAAAACGAAGACCATGATCAATAGTTGTCGACGATTGGACATTGAGCCATGTCTTGTCATGAGACCGGAAGAGGAATTCGTCATGAGTGTGTGCTCTTGGTTGATAATACCGTGAAATATTACGTCGCTGTTGTTCGGATTGAGCTTCAGATTTGTTCTCATCTCAGTCAGACATGAACGGAAAAGACAAGCGCCTGCACGGCTCCTTCGGTGATTCTGTGATAGAGAGGAAGGAGGAAGCAGACGTGGAGGAGCAGCAGGCGGGAGGGGGAGAGGGAAAGCAGGAGAAGACAGCCAAGGGCTTCAAGCCCAACGCGCTCCTCTACCTAAAGAAGATCAAGGAGCCTGGCTTCGCAGCCGAACTCAAGAGGAAGGGTTGCTCAGGCTGGCCTTGCCATGCTGGTTTCCTGTGCGATTTCTGTATGCTGCGCCCTGAGTGGATTGCGGAGTCGAAGCTCGAGCCTCTCAACGTGCGCAGCTGCGTCATGAAGAGCAGGGGAAGTGAGAGATGCGCAGGAAGAGATTGCGGAGCTCAAGCAGTCGATCATCATCTTGCGCAAACAACAACAGGATGTCGAGACGTGAGTAGTACTTGGAGGGGAGGGTGGTAGAGGAGGGGAAGGAGGAGGAGAGGAGCAGGAGCAGGAGCAGGAGCAGGAGCAGCAGGAGGAGCAGGAGCTTTCGCATGTGGCTGAGGGGCTTCAGGCTTGAGCGAGCTGAACGTCTGGTGGCCGGGAAGTACTGGTCAAAGAGCGACGAGGAGCGGAAGATGACGCTGAACAGCATGCTGGAGGACAGCACCGCACGGTGAGGGGAAGCGATGCGAGAGAGGGGAGGATGACAGGAGGCTGTAGGGTTGAAGCCCAGGAGGCGACGAGAGCCAAGATCGCAGCCGAGAAGGTGCGAGATAGTCTGCTGGATCAGCTGTCGAGGGTCCAGGAGAAAGTGAAGCTGCAGGTGGTGGAGGAGGGAGGGACGGGGGCAGCCGTGACGGCTAGAGCAGGAGAAAGACAACACAAGCTTGAAGCAGCAGGTCATGGCGCTACAGCAGACCCTCGAGGAGAGCAGGCGAAAGCTCAACTTCGTACAGGAGCGCTGCTGACTCGCGCGATGCTGACATGCGCGGCAGGTGGAGAAGGACCTGGAGGACAAGCGGTCGATGATCTCAGAGGCGTTCAAGGAGAAGAGCAGGGCGACTACTGAGGTGCGAGGGGGGAAGGAGGAGAAGATGAACTGACTTGCTCTTGTGGCGTCAGGCCCGAAGGCTCAAGCTGGAGGTGGAGGCGACGAATATGGAGATTGCAGTGAAAAACGAGCAGGAAGACGAAGCTGCGTCCTCCTCCTCCTCCTCCTGACCTTCTCCTGCTCAGATCCACAAACTTATCGAGGAGCTGCAGAAGCTGCAGGGGGTAACGGAGGAACGAGACGTCTTCCGGGCCCTGGCTGACCGCCGGGCGATGCTGTCGCAAAGCATCATGGATGAGGTGGGAGGAGGAGGAGAAGGAAGAGGAAGAGAACTATTGACGGCATGAGGCAGGTAGCAGAGGATGTGGTGAAGGCTGAACGAATCAGAGACGAGCACGTGAACACGGTGAGAGGAGGAGGAGAGGAGGAGAGGAGGAGGAGGAGGAGGAGGAGGAGGAGAGGAGGAGAGGAGGAGGAGGGGTGAAAGGGAGAAAAGAGAGCGAGAGAGGAGAGGAGGAGCTGACTAAATCCGAACAGATCAGGAAGTTGCAGAAAGAGCTTGCGACAACGAGGAAGGTGAGGTCGACTTAGCAGGACGAGGCTCTGAACTTGAGCGGCAGAACATCGCCATGCAGCACAAGGCAAAACAGCGGGCAGAGTCATCAGGAGGAGAGAGGAAGTGAAGTGATGGTGCTAGTATAAGACGTTCTCATCTCGTTCACTGTCATGCTGTTGTAGCATGTTAATCTGCCTCCTAGTGCTTTCACTGTCCTCCTCCTCCTCCT